CGGTGCGCCCCGCCGCCTCCCGCACCCCGGCACCAGCCCGTCCAGGCCCCCCGCGGGCTGCCCCAGCCCCGCACCGCTTCCCCCATCCATCCCCGCCGACCTCCTCCTGGCCCTGGCCAAGCTGCATGCTTTTCCTGTCCGTGGGCTGGTCCTGGCGCCTTGCGGGGGTGCCTCTGCTCACCTGTCGGTGCGCACGTCCCCGTTTTGTATTTGATTTGTGCCATCAGAGCCCCCGCTCCCCACCCTGCAATGGCACACGGCGCCCCTCCCAGCGGCAGAGAAAGGGATGCGAAGGGAAGAAGGCTCCAGCCCCTGCCTCCTCTGTCCCCCTCCGGCGCTCGGACGCTGCCCCCCGACTCCCTGGTGCACTTGGACCTGTTCTCCTTGAATGTGCCTGCTCCTCTTTTGAACCTATCTTGTCCGTTTCCCCAGTGATCCCTGGTTCCCCTGGGCTGGAGAGATGCAATCTCACGGGCCGTGTCGCACGGGACAGTTGCCGCTTCCTCCCGGACGCTTGCTGCCCTGTTGTGTAGAGGGGTGTCTGCACCTCCTGGTGTACAGAGAAGCTGGTCCGGTCGGCACCTGGTGGTGAGGTCGCAGCAGCAGCTCTTTTAGGGAAGTGGGATCGTGTCCATCTAGATGGGAGCCAGCCCTGAGTGCCTTGGGGTCGTGTGTCCCACACAGCCCCCACAGCAGGGAAGCCCCAGAGGGTGCGTGCGGGGTGGGACACCCCTGTTTGGGTGCCTGTGAGTTCTGCCCCGTTCTCCAGCCACATAATGAGACATCCAGGGTCATGGCAGTCACTGCCTTAATGGGACAGGACTGCCTCACACACCGGGTCTTGGCAGGGATATCTCCTCCGGGCCAAAAAAGGGGTTCCCCAAGGGAAGGGGGTATCACTGCAAAGTTTTGATGGCTGTGTGTATACATGACCAAACTGGCCATAGGACCCCTGAACTGAGCTGAGCTCAGGCACTGGCAGGTGGGTGTGATGTGGGCTTCAGGCAGACCTCACGTTGGATAAACGCACTTTGGGCTTTTGGAGAGTGCAGGCCGATGCTGAGCTGTAACCCTGAGAAGCGCCCGAAATTTTCCTTTCGCTTTCTGTGCCTTGCTGTGTTTTCATGGCACTGTGTTTGCAGCCAGCCTGGAACCTCTGCATGGAAAACGGGGAAAATAAATGTCTCTACTCTGTGCTTGCTTTGCCCAAATGCACCCACTTTACCCAGTCTTTCCCAGCATGGTATATGTGCAGGCTGCGATGTGCCCCGTGAGGCAGAAGTGGCTTCAACTCCCATTGTATGGGTGCAAGTGAGGGTCAGGGAGACTGATGCCAAGATCCTCAATGAAACCAAGGTACCTAAGTTTTCTTTAGGCACCTAAAAACTTTGTTGTTCTGGGCTTACATGGCTTGCCCAAGCTCACAGTGGGAATCAGAGAAGGGTAGTGTTCATGGATGCTTTACACCCAACTGTATTCCAGTATACTTAATGATCTGTTTTACCTTCCTTCTGGTCAGTGGTGACTGAAAGAGGTCAAACAGTGTAGTTTGGTTATTCAGAGCAACCCTCTTTGGTTCCCTTTCTTTCCTGAGCTACTTTAGTCCTTCTTTTTCCAGCTCATGCATTTCTCATTCTTTTTTTGAGGGCTCAGAAAGGGGAGATTTTTTTTTTTAAGTTTGAAAATCTTCTCTAGAAGCCATGCTAAGTGCTGAACCCAAAGCCTGTCTCCATTCAGGTGTATGTTATAGGGAGCTTTGACCTGAATTCACTTGTGGAGAAGGATTATTTGGGTGGTCCCAAACCTTGCTTAGCTCTCATTAGGCCAGCAAAAACACTCAGCCTCTTCCTTCTCTTTTTCCTCACAGTTGCCACCAGACCTGTTTTTTGCATGTCTCTGCGGAGGAATGTCTAGAACAAAGATTCGCATCCAGGGTGATATGGGCCTATTAAGGATATTGTGAGGGGGGCACGCAATATTAGAAGCAGAGAATCAGAGAAAATGAGGGTTGGAAGGGACCTCAGGAGGTCACATCTAGTCCAACTCCCTGCTTAAAGCAGGACTATCCCCAACGAGATCATCCTAGCCAGGGCTTTGTCTAGCCAGGTCTTAAAAACCTCCAAGGATGGAGATTGCAGCACCTCTCTGGGTAACCTGTTCCAGTCCTTCACCACCCTCCTAGTGAAAGAGTTTTTCCTAATATCCAACTTAAACCTCCCTTGCTGCAACTTGAGCCCATCGCTCCTTGTTTCATCATCTGTCACCACTGAGAACAGTCCAGCTCCATCCTCTCTGTAACCTCCCTTCAGGGAGTTAAAGGTGGCTATGAAATTCCCTCTCAGTCTCTTCTGCAGACTAAATAAGCCCAGTTCCCTCAGCCTCTCCTCCTAAGTTATGTCCCCCAACTCCCTAACCATTTTCATTGCTGCCCGCTGGACTCCCTCCAACTTTTCCACATCCTTTCGGTAGTGAGGAGCCCAAAACTGGACACAATGCTTCAGATGTGGCCTCACCAGTGTAGAATAGAAGGGAATAATCACTTCCCTCGATCTGCTGGCAACACTCCTACCAATGCAGCCCAGGATGCCATTAGGCTTCTTGGCAACAAGGGACCACTGTTGGCTCATATTCAGCTTACTGTCCACTGTAACCCCCAGATCCTTTTCTGCAGAGCTGCTGCTTAGCCAGTTGGTCCCAAGCCTGTAGCGGTGCATGGGATTCTTCCATTATAAGTGCAGGACTTTGTACTTGTCCTTGTTGAACCTTGTGAGATTTCTTTTGGCCCAATCCCCCAGTTTGTCCAAGTCACTCTGAATCCTAGCCCTATCCTCCAGCATATCTACTACATCCCCCCAGCATGGTGTCACCCATGAACTTGCTGAGGGTGCAATCCATCCCATCTTCCAGATCGTTAATGAAGATATTGAACAAAACTGGCCCCAGGACCAACCCCTGGGGCACGTCACTTGATACCAGCTGCCAGCTAGTCCTTGAGCCATTGATTACTACCCACTGAGCCCAATGATTCATCCAGCTTTCTACGTACCTTACAGTCCATTCATCCAACCCGTAGTTCCTTAGCTAGCTTGCAAGAATGCTGTGGGAGCCCGTATCAAAAGCCTTACTAATATCAAGGTATATTAACATTGTTAAGTGTGCAAACACCTGCACATGAGTCAGAAGATAAACCCAGAGATTGCAAATAGGAATCTTTTGCTTCACAAACATTCTGACCTGCTTCTGACCTGATGGTCTTTTCAACAGGGAAATTGTTCTATTATTTTTTCCATAGTCAAGAAAGGAGTGGAAGCTAAGAGCTGGCGTTTTTGAAAGGGTGTCTTGAGCCTAAAAAGGTTGAGAACCACTGGTCTAGTCTAGCACAATAGCTCAGGGTTTTTATTTCTGAAGCTCTGAGCAGCTGCAACCCCCACTAAGCACCTCTGAAAGTAAGCTCATAGGGTGTTTCACTTGTTACGTCTCCTTTGCCAGGATCCTTGTTCATCTTGTTGCAGCTCCTTTGCTTTTGGGGTTTTTTTTGTTATACGTGGGATGAGGCTGTTGATGTGTCCGATGAATTATTACCCAGTGGCAGCCAAGAAACTGCAATTATTTCAAAGCAGCTGGAGAGAACTGTAATTTGCTGGCAGTAAAAATACTGGGCTTTGCTTTGCTCTGTCCAGCGTCCAAGTGGATTCAGAAGTGCCAGTTCAATCCCCAGCCTTAGCTCTGAGGTCTGTTTGCTTAGGGAGAGTGCACAGTTTGCTGTGTGTTTGCTTTGGTGTCAGCAGTGGGTGGAGGTAGAAGGGGGTAGAAAGCCTGAGTCTGGTGGAGTTTGCTCAGGATGCAATGGGCACGGTTGTTTTCTCACTGTGCCGTGTGCTTCATGTTCTTTGTCCTATGGGGACCTGGATAAAGGGGAAAGGAAGAATGAGCCATGCTTTGAGATAGGACTGGCTTGGCGATAGTCTGGCTGCGATCCCACTAAGAAGCCTGGGGTCTGGGTGGAGGGAAGAGGTCTATCCTTGGGTATTTCTACAGCTGTATTAATACTGGGACCTTAAGGAGACTTTCCTGGAAGATGGAGAAAGCCTAGAAACAGAAACCACTTGTAGCAGCACGGTGCCCCTAGCCTTCTCCCAAACTGTTGGTAGTAGCAGGGATTGAGTGGTAGTTGCTTTAGAGGAGAAATGCCACATTTCCTGCTAGATAACGGCATTGTGGTCAGATGGGAGACCCCCTTGCAGCAACTGCTTTCTGGTGAATCTCCTCTGGCAGCTTCTGCCCATTTGCACTCCCTCCTCCCCTGTTCCTGACTTGCTTCCTTTCTTTCTTATTACCTTGTTCCACCCAACGTGGCTTCTCTGTCCCCACTCCCCCCAGAGTCAGAGGTTGTCGGGTCTGGATGCCTGCTGGAAGCTCTGTGAGGCCAGGCTGCACGGTCTTGTGGCTGAGTGCCATGGGGAGCAGCAACAAGAGCCTCAGGCTGGCAAGATGCTGCTGATGCCTCCGCTTTGACTGCAGTGGTCCCTGGCATTAGAGATTTGCAATGAAGCATGGAGGGGAGAGTTTCAGGGAGCTGCTTGCTGCCCCAGAAACGTTGCCCTGCCTGAGGAGCAAGCCCAGACTAGGCCATGGAGGAAGGCTGGGCTGGGTGGGGTCTGCAGTGTCTTGCAGCTGTCCTATCCGTCCTTCATCTCTCTCATCCTCCTTTGACCCCTGTGCCTTCTTCAGCCTACCTTGATGCTGTCCTACAGAGAACTGCTACCCCCTGGTTAAGAGAGGCCAGGTAAGAGAAGTGAAATTTGAGACTTAAACTGCAGGGCAGCGTTCTTAGTTGTGGGACTCACACCCAGATGGAGAAGTGGAGGGAGCTTGAAGAGAAAAGGAAGTTAATAGCTTGCACAAGACCTTAGAATCGGAGCGATGCCACCAACCACCCGGGTCAGTGCCCTCCTCGCAGGTCTACCCACACCGTGAATCAGCTCAGCTCAGGTCATGGCTTGTCTCCCTACTCCTGCCCTTCCCCTGGCCCTATTAATGAGTATTTGCCCCCCGTGTTGTAGGTGATGCTGCTTGGAGATTCAGGCGTGGGGAAAACCTGCTTCCTGGTGCAGTTCAAGGACGGGGCCTTCCTCTCTGGGACATTCATAGCTACCGTCGGCATAGACTTCCGGGTGAGACTGCTGCAGCTTTCTGCACTGTGGGAGAGCCCCTCACACCAGCTCAGGGCAGGACAGTGAAATAGTCCCCCCCTGTCCTCTACCCAGATCATCAGTGAATGGAGCAGGGGTCTGTAGGGGTGCTCTTGAGCTGTTGAATTTTACTGTAAAAATTACCAAAATTGATAGTCTAGACTAATAAGATATGATAAGAGTGGACACTCCATAGATGTCTCTCTCTCTGTCTCTCTCAAAGCCAATTTAGGGACTACTGTTGCTTTAGTCCGGTGGGTTTTTTTTGCTATGCTGCACGGTCATCACAATGAAAGACAAGGAAACTAATTACCATATTAATTGTGCTTGATTTATTAATAAAGAAGGGGAGCGGAGAATTAAAAACAAAACACTTGGTAAGGGTTGCATTGCTTCCAATTCCTCCTGTGTGACTCTATGCAGAGCCTTAATAGAGATGATAATGCTACAGGAATGGATTTCGTCTATAGAAAGGACCCAAAGGACCTTATTCCTTAAATTAGTAGAGTGTCTTAGGATCATAAGAAATGATGGCGGGAAAGGACCCCATGAGGTCATTTAGTCTAGCTGCCAGCCCAAGGCCGAATCATCCCTGACTAACCAGCCCAGTCAAATGCCTGGGCAACCTGCTCTTGAAAATGTCCAAGGATGGAGATGCCACAACATCTCTAGGTGCCTCTTCCAGTGCTTGACCACCCTCAGAGTCAGAACCTGCTTCCTACTCTCCAACCTAAATTTCCTCTGCTGCAGTTTGAGGCCATTGCTCCTCATCCTGTTCCTTGCAGAAATAGAGAAAAGCCCATCTCCATCCTGTTGGAGAACTAAAGCAGATTAGGTGGGCAGAGATGTTGCTTTAAGGATTGGGGAGTCCTGCTGATGGGTCCCTTGCACATCTTAAATAGTTTCTCAGTGGGCAAAGGTGAGTCATTTCAGCCAAGTCTTGTGAAACCAAAGAACGCATTCAAGTTAATTAATGGCGAGATACCATTTAAGGAGTTGTTTTGAGACTGGCAAATCAGTGGAGTGGTGAGCATCTCTAATCCCAGTACCAGGTTTTGTTTACCAAGGTTTAGCTCATGTTTCCTTCTCAGATTAGGTGGCCAAAATGCCCAGCGTTTAATTGGAGAAGCTCTCAGTGCCCTACATTACAATTGCAGTACTCCGTTGAAATCATTAGAAGAAGGCTTTCAATGTAAATGCCTTGGCCGTGCTGTACACGTGTGGCACCATCACCTGTTGAAATCTTGTGATGCTGTTACCTGAACCCGAAAAGGTTGCTTCCTCTTGACGCTGTGTTGTTCTTGGCTGTCTGGTTGCTTCTTGCTTGCACAAGTAATGAACCGTGATGAGTGCCGGAAAGCTGAGTGGGGAGCAGAGATACAGACTTGCTTGTTCAGTTTGGAGAGGTTTTTATAGTCCTGTCTTCCCATAAATTTGTGGAAGAAGGAAAACTCAGCTCTTTCCTGCTTTCCTGGGTTTGGAATTAGCTGACTGGCTCTCACCTTCATGGGCTGCTCTTATCCAAGATATTGCTAAAGATATTGCTGTGTGGTCTGGTTAATGTATATGAGGCATAAATCAAGTGGTCTTTTGTGTTGTGGTGGGAAATTCTCTGAGTATAATTTTAACTTTTTTCTTTTACCGAGTCCATCTTCAGAGAGATCCTTTTGGTTTCCTCAGGGCATAATAGGAGCTGAAATTCTGTTTCAAATAACTTAAGTCCACACACTGTTGCTGTAAAAATCTTCCAATTCTCAAAATGGTCTTTTCCTTACCATAATTCTTAAAGAGAGTTTATAAACTTGAATAAACAGAAAAAGAAGTTGTTGCTTCTTCTTAACAAGCTGCGGAAAGGGGTCTCTTGTATTCCTGAGTTTGATAAGAAAGTTGCTTATGCATTGTCAACTAATTACTTTCCCAATTAATATCAATATTTTTACACTTGAATGGGTGCTTGCTTTTGGATCCAGTTGTAGTATCAAATGTCCTTCCTGTATTTTCCACAAACCATCTCATGTAACAAGGGATCAGAAAGCTGTTTTGTGATGGGAGGTACAAAGAGATACAGTACTTGCAGGCATGCGTCTCAAGAGAGACTTGTTATCTCCGGCACTGAAGAAACAGTAAAAGGTTTACGTGGCTGACATTTTCTGCAGACCATTTTGCATCCGTCAAGGTCTGATGGCTTGCGAATGTTTGTGAGAGAAAACACTTTCAGTAAGACAATCTTTAGCACCTTTTGAGCAGGTTTAGATTAGAGATGTTTTCTCATGAAGCAGATGTAAGAGGCTCATTTTATGTCACAGTCTATGGCTCTGATAAACACATCCCTTTGCTCTTCCAAAATCTTTTGAAACATAAATATCTGATGAGCTTGTTCTAAGGAATTAAGACTAGACCAAACTGGTATCTTAGGCTATAAACAGATGTTGCATTTGTCCTGAGATAAACCATTTTCTCCCAGGACAAAGTGCAGTAGTTCAGATGCCCATGCCCATTGTTAAATCCTAGACAAGATAAGAAGTACTAACAGTTTATCCCAGGACATTGTAAAGTGCAATGGTTATCCCAGGGTTGCATCATTGAATCAATGGGAAAAAGCACAGCACATTCAACACGCTCACTAAATCCTGATTAAAAATGTGATGTGTGTGCACGCCAATCCCGGGGCATTTCTGTCCAGGAACAAACGTAATGCCTGTTCCTAGCCTTATACAGAGGATCTTATTCTTCCAAGAGATACTTTTTCTGGTGGTTGACTGTTGGCTAATTGGTTCCTAACTTTACAATCCATCCTTTAAAACATGTGATTGAAGCCTTCTATAAATCATGTGATTCAAAGCACAGATTTTAATAAGCAAATGAACTATACACTTTGAAAACACAGCCTAAAAGAAAATAACAATGAATATCCAAGCCACCTAGAAGGGATAGAGGCTGCCTTTTCAGTTCTGTGTGAAGGCATTTGGGTGATTTGTGGCCAGTGGTGTTACCTCTTCTGACATTTCAAACTCGTCCATGGGTGACAGAAAGCAAAGACCCTGAGCAGCTCAAGTAATTAAATACGCTTTAGGTGTTTTATACTCTCCGAGCGCTGCAGCTAGGAAAGTAATTGCCAATATCTCTTAAAGTCGCTGAAAGATGCAGGCAAGGCTGTAATGATCTGCTGATAGAAGAGTAAATGATCATTTTATCAGTGAAACTACATTTGTGTCAATATTGAGATTGCCAAACCCCACCCCACACACGCACACACCCAATATAGTCTAATCAAACTTCTTCCTTCTTTTATGATGCGGGGGGGGGGGGGGGGGGTGTCTCTTAATTCCCTTGCCTGTTCCCCCAGGTTTGGGTTAGCAGATGGAATTTGGGGGTCGCAGCTGTGACCCAAATGCAGGAGGTCCTCGAACCAGTGGCCCTGCTGCAGCTGTGGAAAGCACCCGTCTCTCTTACCTAGACTATTCACAGGGCACCCTGCCTAGGGAATATAGATGCTGAAAATGCATTAGACTAAGGGCACCACAAGATAGAACCAAATTGGGCCCAGTTCTTGCTGTCCTGGGATCAGTGGGTTCCCTTCTCCTCATCATATATTTACAGCCTTCTCCTGTTTGGGGCCAGATCCCATTACACTGGTGTAAGCTGGGACCTGGTCCTTTGAACTGAGGTCCACTGGGTTCACAATCTGTTCTTACACTAGCAAATATGTCCCTCAAAAATGCATTGTATGAGGCTTGGGTACAGGCATACAGGAATGAGGAGAGAGCCTGAGGAACTATAGAGGTTTGAACCAAAGAAACCCAAAGCTTGGGGCTTTATTCTCTCATCATCTGAACGTTTTAAGCCAACAGAATCGAGCTGGACTTTAACCAAGAGTTGCTCCTAAGGAGATGGCTGTGTTTGTATTGTATTGACAGCTTTGCACCCTGCTGTCCAGAGATGGAACAAAACGATGGTCCATTTGGGTCAGAAGCAGCCTGTATTTGTGAGATACGCTGGGGGTTTGAAAGGCACAGAAATGAACCAGAAATGTCCGGTGGTCCGTACTCTCTCAAATGAGTTTCAGTTCAAGCTTTGGGCAAAGGTTCCATTTGTTTAATTTGTCCAAGCTGCTTCACCCAGCCCCAGCTGCAATGCAGATGTGGGTGTGTGACTACTTCTCATGCAGGGTTGTGCGTTCTGGGGCTCTGGGTTCTGTACGGTGCTGTGGCCTGTATCTGTGTGGACTAAAGGTGCTTTCTTGTTGTCAGTGACTTTGTCCTGCCCTTGCATCTCTTTGCATTGCCCATCCCTGTTGCATCTCCCTGCTAAATTGGAGATGAAACCTTATTGCACTTGTGATGGTGTGTCCAGCGTATGCAGATGGAGAGGCAGAGTCAGTCCCCTTCTTGGCCTTATATGCTGCTCAGCTTTAGCTGTCACAGCAGCCCAGAAATGTGTCTGGGCCATGAAACCATCTGGGTTGTGGAACTGGGTGTTTCTGTGACAGGCTGAGCATCAGATCCCTTGAGAAAGGAGCACATTGCAGCTCGGGAGAATGTTTCCCCAGGGCGAGGGCAAGCTTTGGGGATACTGCTAATAAACACCCATTACTGCTTTCTTGATCTCAGTCCTGGAGCTCTGAATGGGGGTTAAGAAGACATGTAGCAATACATGGGGGGGTGGGGGGGGGGGTTAAAGCTTTTTTTCTGCATGTCAGTCTCTGCTTCTGTGACCAATGTGCCTGACCTATAGGATCTGCCAGGTGCTCATGATTGTAGTATCTGAATATCAGCACCAGCAGAAGCTCCTAATCTCTCCAGCTGGATGTTTCCCTACCCTGGAAAATGCCAGTTCGGGTGACATGCCTCCTGGAGGGAAGGCCAAGCTAAGTAAGGCCATCTGCCTGACCACCATGCGGATGAGTTTCCCTGGGATCTCATAAGGGATAGGAGCCCTTGAGTAGAAGGCCTTGACTTTTCCTGCTGCTGCTTTAGAGGCAGACTCAGGCGAGGTCTGCTTATGTCTCCTCCCCTTGGTCTGTGGGCTCTGATTCCAGCATTCACACCCTCCAGAACCAGTGAACTGGAGTGATAGGGGTCAAGGTGATCCATGGGGATGCTACAACCCACAAGGGAGCGCAACCAGCTTTTCCCTTACTCAGCCTGACTTTCTTTTCTCTTACAGAACAAAGTGGTGACAGTAGACGACGTGAAGGTGAAATTGCAGGTGAGTCAGGGAGTTGGTGGGGAATTGATGGTCACACTGCAGAGTTCAACCCCTGGCATTGAGTGTCTAGACAACCAGGAGGCCAGTAAGTGGCCTTTACCTTTTTTTTCCATGCATCTTTCTTTGCTAAGGTCCTGGTAGGAAGGAAGGAAACATCCCTGGGGAAGACTATGGGGGTGTCTGCAGAATGAAAGGACTGTGCTAGGGAGCACTGCAATAGAGCACAGCACACCCACGCTACATAGGCCATACCCCAGGAGGCTGGAGTATAGGGCATGCTGAGAAACTCCCCTGTGACAGCGTATCAATGCCCCATACCGCACGATGCCCCATCCCCTCAGGGTGCAGTGTATGCAGAGAAGCTGTATTATGCTTCACTACAGCCCTTCTTAGCATAGTGCTTCCAGCATTTGCCTCACATGCCCTCAGGAACTCACAGCCATCATCTTGCTTTGGCCTCAAATCATTTCAGTCCAGACCTCCAAATGCCATTGATTATAGCTTGGAAACACCCTAGTACGCCAAGGGCAGAAGGGCCAACAGTGGCCCCCTTGCACTGACTCAAGTTTCTTGCCTTCTCTTGTTCTCTATTGCCAGCACGCTCCCAGGATTTGGAAGCAGGAGATGAAATGGGCTGCAGTGAGGTTTCTCCCTTAGTTTTTCACAGGGGCTATTTCTTTGCAGATCTGGGACACCGCAGGGCAGGAGCGATTCCGTAGCGTGACCCACGCCTACTACAGAGATGCTCAGGGTAGGTCTCTGGGTGGATTCGTGTTGCCCATTTGGGGTGAGATGGGAACTGGAATCCACAGGTTCAGTGGAGCTGCTTTTGCAAGTAATGCCTAGGAGCAACACAGTTATTAACCCCACCACTTTGTTTCTCTTGTTTTCCTTCCAGCCTTGCTCCTCCTGTATGACATCACCAGCAAAATGTCCTTTGACAATATTCGAGTGAGTATCCATTGACCAGCAGCCTCAGGGATATAACTGCTCAGCCTGGAAACCCCCAGAGAGGGTTGATAATGGACCTTCACTCCCTGGATGTCCTCCCCCTCATCCAGGCCACTTTCTGGGTACTGGATGGACAGACTCCAAGACCCAAAGAGAGAACCTATTGGTTCTAAACATGTGACACCTCAACGTGTCCACTCCTTTGACAGCCATCAAACCAAGCAACTCCTTCCCCAGAACAGCCATGGTAGGGTAGACATTGATGGGAAACACTAAATTCATTTTAAAAAATTAAGCTTTACAGGGACCAGAACTGGGGTGAAATTTGGTGAGTGGTTTCATCTGCAGCTGGAGAGGAAGGGTGGGTGTTAAAAAGAAGTCAGTGTAGTGACTTTTCATTGTGAAATGTCCCTAAGTGTCATAAAGGGAAGGCGATGAAAGATTCAATCATCTGAAAACTGAATTAACTGTCTTAGTTTGAGCTGGCTCAAAATGAAAACTTTCTTTGTCACCAAAAAAAATGTAAACCCCACCCTGAAAAATGGCCATATTTATTCAACCCGAACCAGTTTTTTCTTGGTTTAGATTGAGAACTGGAAAGGTCTATTTTGGCACAGCTCTACACAGTGTCTTGGACCCTGAGATGACTGTCTGCCTTTGTACTGCCCTTCCCTCTCACTGCCTGTCTTTTGTGATGGGGTGATCCTTTAACCTGAATCCTAGGGCTGAGACAGTGTCCAACATAAGTCTTCACTATCCTTGGCCATCTGTGAGAACTGGGAGCTGTCCTAGTTCTTGGTATTTGGCTACACCAAGACATCACTTCCCTGCCTGGCCAGTTGCTTCTGCATTAAGGTACAATGCATGAGCTTTGCCTTAGTCAAAGGGGCCTGAGCAAATAGGTGAGCTTTGAGTCCAGATCTTAAAATACTGGAACCAATCATACAGAAAGCCAAGCTCATTCAACTCCTATTGAAATCACTGAGGTGTTCTTCTCAGGAGTTGACAGCGAGGACCAACCTTAAGTCCTTCAACACTAAATCTCTTCCACCTGTGCTGATACAGGAGTTCTGCTGGTTAGTAACAGCAGTAGGTTATTATCTAGTCACCACCCATGACAATGGTAATGCAACTGTACTGAATGGAGGTGAAATGTGCCGTTGAGTCACAAGGGTCTGGGGGAAACGGACCACATCCATACTGGTAGCTGGCACCGTGCTGAAACCAGGTCACGAGGGTATGGCTGCTTCTGTCCCAAGCTGCATGGCAGACTTGGAAACCTAACAGTACAGAGCAGCAGACTCCACAGGGTCTTCACTCAAGGACAACCCATTACAAAGGTGCCTGGTGGCTAGGGTGGGTTGGGAAATTTTGACCAGATGGGGGTTTTTTGCCAGAAAGTGATGATTTCTTGGCAGGTTTGTCCTCCCCCACCTCCTCTCCCATGCGCTTGCTGTTGCACAAAAACCTTCTTGTCTGTGCTGCTCATCTTGGACACCATGTGACCTCTTCCTCTCTTACAGGCCTGGCTCTCAGAGATACATGAATATGCCCAAAAGGATGTGGTCATTATGTTGTTAGGCAATAAGGTATGTGTCGCTTCCTGTCGGGTTACTGAGAGCTTGCTCAGAAGACAGCTTCTTTCCCCTATTTTTTTGCACCATTTCTTCCTCATGCAGGTCAACAATGTCCCAAATTGTGGGCGTTTGGATTGGACATGTGGATGGAGTTCCCAGTGCCTCTTTCTTTGTCCACTGGCACTTTCTAATGAACGGTTTGCTTGCCCTCTTTTCTACTGGGAAGTACAAGGCCTTCACCTGCTGATGATGTATAATTGGCTCCAACCCTGCAGGATATTGTCCAAGCTTCTGTGCTTTCCAGCATCACCAACTTCCCCTTTGAAGGGTCCTCATAGTTTTCCCCTGAAATCCTAGTATTAGGTGTGACTCAGCCATTCCACAATGTGGAGATAGGAGGCAATGTCATTGGGGCCAGACTTTGGGGTCCACTGTTTCAAGAGCTGGCACTGGATGTGCCTTCTTGCCCCAAACCCAGATCCTTGGGCCATTTACAATTCTGTCAATACTTGAACTGGATCGGTTAGCACACTTGTATAATGCTCTTCATCTTCCCATGCTACCTATTCCCTAGCTCTGTGCAAGGCAGTGTCATTATCTCCATGTTGGAGAACATGGGATATGTCTAATGCTACAGAAGGAGTCAGTGCATGAGCTGGCAGCATAATTCCTGAGCCTCTAGCTCCCACAGCTGTGCTCAGAGCGCTTGCCCATATCCCTCCCTTGAAGATGCGCAGGTGTTTGCCGGGGACTGGAAGTTCCTAGGGGAATGTGACAAGCTGTTAAAAAGCTCTGAAGTTCCTGTTGGATGTCTCAGTGCCAGCTGCAGCCGGTAGATGGCAACCCGAGTCCTTGGGTTCCTCGTATGGATCCTAAAGTAGTGTTTCTGGGGCAAGGCTGGCTGGGAAGTTTCCAGCTGCAGTAACTATATCCCTTTGTTTGCAGGCAGATGTGAGCAGCGAGAGAGTTGTCAGGACAGAGGATGGAGAGACGCTAGCCAGGGTGAGCCTCACTGCGGGGGTTGTGGGCTTTTTCCTTGCAGAAGGTTTCTGCTCCCTGCCTTCAATATCCTCAGTTCCATATTGGCTGCAAGCTCCTGTCCTGTACTGAACAGACCTCGACTAAGGGATTTAAAAATGTCCCAGCCTGGGCTCACAGGACTGCTTCACTGAGACACTGATCACATCAGTCAGCCCAGCTACAAGTACCTTGTTTGCAGCCTTAACCATCCTGTACGAGTTGTCTGGACCGGAGGGGAGAGAAACATCAGATGTGAAGGCAGAGAGTGGAAGGGCAGGGCAGGGAGGGTGTGGGCCATGAGATGGGGCCTGAGGGTGGATTTTGGGGACTAAGGAGAATGTAAATAGGTGGAGGGGAGGCTGGGAGCTGGGGGAATAAGATTGGAGCGTACTGAAGAATGAGAACTGCACTTGTGGAGTGGCAGGAGGCTCAGCTCTGGGCCTGCTGAAGTCAGAAAGAGCAAGAGAATAGTCAGAGAGTAGCTGGGCTACGGTTAAAAAAGGTGCCACCAAGACGTGAGCCGCCTGCTCTGCAGCTCTCAGGATGGGACCTTCCATCCTCACCCCAGACACCTGTCTCCTCCCACACCTCTAAGGGGTCTCTTCCCTGCTCCCCACTTTCTCCAATGCTGGCTCTTCCAAGCCAGCTGTGCATAGTGCTGCCCCTTCTTGCTTATACCTCTCTTTTACTGCTGCATCACAGGGGGATGGGCAGGCCCTCCATTAAGGTCCACATCTAAGGAACCTGCTCTACTATCCTTGGAGGTTGCCAGTTTCTTCCTGGCCTGTTTGGCAAAGGGTGTTTCAGAGCAGAAAGGGAGCTGTAGGAGTGTTGGTGGTGGCAGTACCAGGCAGTCCAGCCCAGCTGCTCATGATGCCATGTCCTCTTTGCAGGAGTATGGAGTGCCTTTCATGGAGACCAGTGCCAAGACCGGCATGAACGTGGAGCTGGCCTTTCTGGCCATTGCCAAGTGAGTAGCTGCAGTTCTCAGAGAGTGGCTTCCAATCTCAGGACCACCTTCTTGTACTAAGGGGCAGCAATTTAGCGCGTAAGCACTGACATGGTAACCCATGCTCCTAGGGGATTAGAAAGGCCACATCTTGAAAGAGGAACTGTCAGTCAGTGGTTAGAACAGGGAACTTGGTGGTTCAGAGACCCTGTGTTTTATACACTTGCTATGTCATCACAGCCAAGATGCTTAATGGCCTGTGTTTGCAGTATTTCCCAGTTTCAGAGAAGTGGTTTAAAGTTATGATACTTATTGACATACCACATGCATGCACCTTTTTCCCCCAGAATCAGCTATCCAGAATTTGGGGGGGGGTGTCCCATGCAAAAAAAATGGATTTGCATGTTGGAATGAAGGCAGGGGGAAGCTGAAATAGTGGCAGGGGGCTGTGCTTGCATTAGGCTGTTTCATGGTATTTTCCCCAGTCGCAAGGAGCAGAGGCAGAGTCCCTGCTGTTTTGTCAGCTGTGGGTTTAGCCCTCCCACAGCTGCTACCAAATTGACCAAGCAGCAGGGAGATGGAGCGATGCTGATGACAGGACTCTGCCTGCGCTTCGTGCAGCCCTGGGTGGACCAGTGCTAGGGCAGGGAAGACTCTGAAAAAAATCTTTTTTTCTTTCTTCTGCCTTCCCAAAACAAGGCATGTGTCTTATTTGAGGGCATGTGGTATGTAGGCAAACAGGGTGATTTGTTAAGACAGGCCCATAACTAGGTTCTACACTTTCCTATGAAGCATTTGCTATTAGCTGAGGTCAGGAGGTCTGCGTGGGCAACTGCTTTGCTCCAGTACCATGGTTCCTGTGGGCAAAGTCTCGCACTAAGATTTGTCCCCATAGAGTGAGACGAGAAGGCAGCAGGATCCCCGAGAGCTCTTAAGCTGGGTGGGAATCAGCATCGTTCTGCTGACTCCAGCTGCTTCCAGACCACTTTTGCTCTGCTCCCAGGCCAGGATGACACGTTCCAGCCTAGAGTTAATTTGTGCCAGTCCAGCCTTAGGCCTGTGAATTGCCTCGGCACTGCCTCATGTTACATGAGGGATGGAGGTTACACAGAGATGATAGAAAGCAATCCCTACTCCTTCCTTCCTTCGGAGACAGGGGGATGCAGCAGCTTTGCTAATGGCAGGTGCGTTTCTTTCAGAGAGCTCAAGGAGCGAGCAGTGCAGCAGCTGGATGAGCCCAGGTTCCAGATTCATGACTACATAGAGTCGCAAAAGAAGAAGTCCAGCTGCTGTGCCTTCATATGAGAGAGAGGAGGCTGCCGGGACAGGATACAGGTGCAGAGGGGTAATCCGGGCACCTGGGACAGTGAGAACTGCGCAAGACAGTGGCTGGAGCCCTGCCCTCCAGAACAACCTCTAACCAAATTCTGGTAATAGTTTCCAAATAAGAGGCAGGAAAACCTACCAAAAGAGGGGAGCATGTGTATGCGTGTGAGTTTGCGTGCATCTGTGTGTGTGTGCAGGAGGGGAAGTTATCATAAGGCCAAATAAACACCAGTTGTGATTCCACCAGCTATGGTGAATCTTACTGCAAGCGTCCGCACTGGGTTGGGTGCGTCTCAGCCCTGCTGCTCTGGAGTGGCTCACGGGAGCCTTGGCTGCCTACCCAGGCCTCCAGGGATCATGGCTGGGCTTGTTCAGCCTCAGAAGGCTAAATAAAGCCCAGCCTCTCTCTTGAACTGGGCCAGGTCAACATGGCAGCCTGACTGGTGTCCCACAGCTCTCAAGACTAGGCAGAATTGGCTTCAACGACTGTCTGTCTAGATTGGACTAGGTCAGTGGTAGCATCTCTCCTGCCTGGAATCAAGCTTCTCGCTGTGTCCCCTGGAGTCCGACAAGAGAGTGAACCATAGCAGTCAAGGAGGCAAGAAAAGCCTTCTCTCTTCCTTGCATTAGGATGTGAAGTTTCCCTGCTAAAGGAAGAAGAACAGGAGACTTTTTCATGTGATATCAAGTTCCTTCCCCTCCCCTGCACCTCTGAAGCTCAAGATCCTAAGGAAATGAAGGATGGAGAGCAGCAGAGTAAGGACCCTAAGCTTCAGAAAAGGAGACTTCGACTTGCTCAGGGACTCATGAACAGGATCCCCTGGAAAGCTAGTCTGGGGGGGGAGAAGAATCCTGGAGAGCCGGCTGTACATTAAAGAAGCCTTACTGAGCTTGCAGGAACAAACTATCCTAATGCGCAGGAAGACTAGCAAGTGTGGCAGAAGACCAGCTTGGCTTAGCAGGGAACTCTTCAGTAAACTAAATCACAAAAAGGCAGCTTGTAAGAAGTAGAAACTTTCACACATAACTAGGGAACAGTCTAAGAGCATTGTGCGGGCAAGCAGGGATGAAGTCAGGAAGGCCAAAGCATAATTGGAGAGTGTGCAGAGCCCCCCATGCAGCGGGGGGCAGTGGGGATCCCCCAGCAGCACCCGCTGAGTAGGGGCTTTTTTTTAAAGTACCGAGCTGGGGCAGGTGGGGCCAGCCATGGGGGGGCTGGGGTAGTAGGCAGAGGTGGGGGGAGGCTGGGGAAGTGGGGGAGGCTGGCAGGGATCCCCCCCATGGCCCCCTCCCCGCTCCCCCGCCCCTAGTACTTACCAGCTCGGAGTCAACTGCAGCTCCCTGCTGCAGCCACCGGGGACTGCCCGAATCATCAAAGCTCTCCGAATCTTTTCCGAAGATTCAGAGATCTTCAAATCGATTCGGACCTTTAAATTGGTCCCCTGCTTCGATTCGGATTCAGAGATTCAGCCACCGAATCGGGCCAAATCTCCTCCAAATCGAATCACCACCTGAAGCTTCGCACAGCTCTAGTCCCTTGCTGAACCAGGGAGGCAACCTTGTGACAGAGGATGCAGAAGAGACTGAAGTGCTCAATAACTTTTTAGTCTTTGCAGGTGAGGTCAGCTCCCAGACTACTGTACCAGGCAGCACAATTTGGGGAGGAGGTGAGCATCCAACAGTGGTGAAAGAACAGGTTAGGGGCTATTTAGAAAAGCTGTATCTATACAAGTCCATGGGGTTGGATGGGATGCACCCAAGGGTGCTGAGGGAGTTGGCTGATGTGATTGCATAGCCACTGGCCATCATATTTGAAAACTCATGGTGATCAGGAGAGGTCCCAAATGATTGGAAAAGGGAAACCAGTGCTTATATTTAAGAAAGGGGAAAAGGAAGATCCAGGGAGCTACAGACCAGTCAGCCTCACCTCAGTCCCTGGAAAAATCATGGAGCAGGCGCTCAAGGAATCCCTTTCTAAGCACTTGGAGGAGAAGGTGATTAGGAACAGTCAGCATGGATTCACCAAGGGCAAGTCATGCCTGACCAACCTGATTGCCTTCTACGATGAAATGACTGGCTCTTTGGACATGGGGAAGCCAGTGAATGTGCTATACCTTGATTTTAGCAAGGCTTTTGATACAGTCTCCCCCAACAGTCTCACAGGCAAGCTAAGGAAGTATGGGCTGGATAAATGGACTGTACAGTGGATAGAAAACTGGCTAGAGCATCAGGTTCAGAGGGTAGTAATCAATGGCTCAATGTCTAGTTGGCAGGTGGTATCAAGTGGAGTGCCCCAAGGGTCAGTCCTGGGGCAGTTTTGTTCAATATCTTCATCAACGACCTGGAAGATGGGATAGAGTGCACCCTCAGTAAGTCTTCAGATGACACCAAGCTGGGAGGAGTAGTAGATACTAGGGCTAGGATTCAGACTGACCTAGACAAATTTGAGGATTGGGCCAAAAGTAATCTCATGAGGTTCAACAAGGACAAGTACAAAGTCCTGCCCTTGGGATGGAACAATCCCATGTACAAATACAGGCTGGGGGCTGACTGGCTGGGCAGCAGCTCTGCAGAAAAGGACCTGGGGGTTACAGTGGACAATAAGTTGAATATGAGCCAGCAGTGTGCCCTTGTTGCCAAGAGGACTAATGGCATACTGGGCTACACTGGTGTCTTGCCAACAGGTTAAGGGAAGTGATTATTCCCCTCTATTCAGCACTGGTGAGACCACATCTGGAGTACTGTGTTCAGTTTTGGGCCCCCCACTACAGAAAGGATGTGGACACATTGGAGAAAGTCCAGCACAGGGCAACAAAAATGGTTTGGGGGCTGAGGGACATGACTTATGAGGAAGGCTGACAGAACTGGGCTTATTTAGTTTAGAAAAGAGAAGACTGAGAGGGGATTTAATAGCTGCCTTTAACTACCTGAAGGGAGGTTCAAAAGAGGATGGAGCTGGACTGCTCTCAGTGGTGGCAGAGGACAGAACAAGGAGCAATGGGCTCAAATTGCAGCAAAGGAAAATTGGGTTAGATATTAGGGAGAACTTTCTCACTAGGGGGGTAGTTAAACACTAGGACAGGTTACCCAGAGAGGTTGTGGACTCACCATCCTTGGAGGTTTTTAAGACCCGGCTAGACAAAACTTTGGCTGGGATGATCTAGTTGAGGATGGTCCTGATTTGAGCAGGGGATTGGACTAGATGTGACCTCCTGAAGTCCCTTCCAACCCTCATTTTCTCTGATTCCATGATCTCCCCAGACTGATCTCCTTCTGTCACCAAACAAACCCAAAGGGAAGGGGCTTGGGGCAGCTGAGTGTTGTCATTGTGCCTCGTGTGTTGAAAGAAAAAGTCCAGCCTACCACTGGCACAAGCTGACCTGCTGGTTTGCTCTGTTAAAAAGCATGGGCACCCTCCTGAGTAAGCAGAGGAAAGCACAGAGCCAGCATTTCCAGCTCATTTGCTTGGAGAAGGGCCAGGGTACCTTGCTGACGACATGACCTCCAAGCACCAGCTGGACCCAGCAGTGATCTTTTCCTGAAGGTCTCCAGCCTTTGCACTTCCCCTGGTCCCTTCTTTACCAGCGGCACTGTCACCACTGCCTCTTTGTCTTTTCCTGTTGTGGCTGTTGAAATAAAGACCTAATCCAAAGCCCACCGATTTCTTTGGGAGGCATTCCACTACCCTCCATGGGCTCTGAATCAGGCCCCAGTTGCTGACCGGGTGTTTTCTAATAGTAAATACAACCCCTGGCTACCTCTTTTCAGCTGTGTTAACTAACACTGAGGCTGCGGCACAAGTGACCGGGAGCTACAGAACTAGAGGCTGAACCTCCAGCCTGCGCCTGGCTCTTGCAACCCATGTGGTGCTTTCCATTTACATAGCATTCCCCAGGCCCTGCAGTTCAATGGGAAACCATGTGGCAGCGGGGTGATCTGCCCTGGGGTTGGATTGTCTTAGGAGCCTGGATGGCTCGGGGAGCTGATAACAGGCTTAGAGCCTTTTTTTGACCTCAAGGCCAGCAGGTCAAATGGGAAAGATTTCAAAGAGAGTCAGATCCAGACTCAAGGCAATCATGGCTGATGGTTACCAGCATCTCTTAGCTCTGCTGACATGACAGCCTGTGTGAACTGAGCCTCTGGCCAGGTTCATAGATTCAGGGGGCCGTGGCACAGATCTCACCCTTGCATTTGGCAGTGGGTGACTCCCTTGCTGGGGAGCTCAGCCAAGTGGCCAGCCTCTGAGTACACAGAGAGCCAAAGCCACCTTTATTCCCCCCAGGCCATGAAGCCAGTGAGTGGAGAAGGTTTGTTACCCCTGCCCATATTATACCTCTTCTCTAGATGGCTGGAGCGCCTTCTTCCAAGCTCTCAAGCCACCCCTGTGTTGGATGTCACACTGATTTAGATTGCCCGACTTGGCCTCTTCGTGCCCTTTTAGCATTATTGAATATGAAGCTGCTCTTTAGTTCTCCTTTCTCTGGTGACTGCTATAAAGCCCCAGTGATTTCCCCAAGTCAGCAAAGCATCAAAGCACACCTTTCTCTTAAGTCCCTTCGCTTTGCTCAATCTCCCTTATTTTTGTCTTATTTTTGCAGTCCCTGCCTTGTGCAGTCTGCATGTAAGGGCACGTCAGGAAGATCTGTCAGAGTTACTGCATGAATATTTTTGCTTGGCTTGTTAGCTTGGAAACCTGTTCTTCCCATCCCTCCCCCCTGCCCCCCCGCCACTTGAACAAGGGACTTTTAGAGAGTCATTTTTCTTTTGATCCTCGGAGAGCAAAACATGGCTTGGTTTCTTCATGTTTGAGCCACCTGGCATGGCTCAGGCTAGCAAGAGCAGGCTCAAGACAGTCATTCTGCTCTGTCAGATGGCTGCCGACTGTTATTACTATAAAATCTATTCCAGCAGCCTCAGCCTGGCAGTGCCCTGTCCGTAGCGCCAGCCGAGGCTGTAGCTATGGGAGCTTCCTCCCAGCAGTGCCCTCACAGTGCTCAGAGACACTAGGAAAA